CCTTTCAGTGTCTAGAGCTCTATAATCTACAACTTCACCAGGTTTGGGTGGAAAGTGTGGGACTTTGGGTTGAGAGCGGTTACTGATTTGCCAGTGAAGTTTTGTCTTTGTTGATCCCTGGCGACCAGACAGCTCAACTCCAGGCGGCTTTCATGACTCAAGCAGAATTCCCAGCACTGTGTTAGTTTAAGATGTGCAGCAAACTGACATATATATATATACATACACACACACATATATACACACACACACACACACACATATATATACATATATATAAATTCTTTTTTAGATTCTTTTCCATATAGGTTATTATAAGATATTGAATAGAGTGCTATACAGTAAGTCCTTGTTATTTATCTATTTTATATATAGTAGTGTATATCTGTTAATCCCAAACTCCTAATTTATCATTCCCCCTACCTTTTCCTTTGGTAACCATAAGATTGTTTTCTATGTCTGTGAGTCTGTTTCTGTTTTGTAAATAAGTTCATTTGTATCACTTTCTAAGATTTCACAAATAAGCAATATATAATATTTTGCTTTGTCTGAGTTACTACATTTAGTATGATAGTCTCTAGGTCCATACATGTTGCTGCAAATGCCATTATTTCATTCTTTTTTTATGGCTGAGTAATAGTCATTGTATATATATATATACATGTATATATATACACCACATCTTTATCCAATCATCTGTCAGTGGACATTTAGGTTGCTTCCATGTCTTGGCTATTGTAAATAGTGCTACTATGAACATTGGAGTGCATGTATCTTTTTGAATTACAGTTTATGTCTTTTCCAGATAGATGCTGGAAATGGGATTGCTGGATCATACAGTAACTCTGTTTTTAGTTTTTTAAGGAACTTCCAGACTTCTCCATATTGGCTGCACCAATTTACATTCCCACCAACCGGTTGTACAGAAGGGTTCCCTTTTCTCCACACCTTCTCCAGCATTTATAATCTGTAGACTTTTTGATGACAGCCATTCTGACTGGTGTGAGGTGATACCTCATTGTAGTTTTGATTTGCATTTCTCTAATAATTAGTGATGCTGAACACCTTTTCATGTGCCTACTGGCCATCTGTATGTCTTCTTTGTAGAAAGTCTATTTAGGTCTTCTGCCTATTCTTGGATTGGGTTGTTGTTTTTTTGATATTGAGTTGTATGAGCTGGTTGTATATTTTGGAAATTAAGCCCCTGCCAACAAGGGCCAATGGTTCGTGAATATTGGTAAGAGTAACTTTTAAAATAATAATACAAATGATGATGGGGGTTGAGTATGGTGAAGAACAGACTTCTCTGTGACTCAAGACCTCACCATTAGACATTCCCCACCCCCTTTAATCCAGGAAAATCCAATAAACATCTACCTGGAGCCCTGGAGGCTGACTTCTCTGAGCTCATCCTGGAAACACTACCTCTGGCTTTGCCTGGGGGTGACCAGGAAATGGGAGAAGAGCCTGGAGAAGCTCCAGATAATGTGGAACAGATCATGACACCTAGTAATTTCTAACTGCTGGAACCCAGAGCCTGTGAATGTCTTGAACCCAAATGCTGCTCAGACTGCCTAGTCCAGGGGCTTGCATGTGCTTTATTAAAAGTTACATTAAAAAAAATGATGGACTTTACACATATACATATACGGGCTTATTTGGAAGTTTATATTGTAAAATACAGGGAAGTACAGATATCATGGTTGACTCTAGGGCAGGACTGGCGGCCAGAGACTCTCTGATTGCAATGGCAAGTGGATGGCTTAAAGGATCTGCAGCTGCTAATTGGAAAATTAGGACCAAAATCTAAAATGGAGGATTCAAGAATCAAGTAATTAATAGTAGGACTGGGGATGAGAGGTGGGAGGGTGAAAAAAAATGGGAAATGGCCAGAAGGGGTGATCAGTCAGAAGGAAGCCAACTAGCCACTGCCTTCTCCTGGAGGGTGAGTCAAGAGGTAAAGAGCTGTGAGCTGGCCTTGAGATGAGCTAAGGCCGTGGGACCCAAGGCCACAATCAGAGCATGTTTGTAGTATACAGTAAATAATTGCTGTACACATGCATCAATTATGGAAGATTTAGAACAAAGAAACTAGAAGTATGCATGTGCTAGAGATATTCTGTAAGCCTAATGAACGAAGAAACTCACATCGCACATGTGCTGGCAGAGAACAGATAAAAAGCAGGTAAGGTGTGTCATAGACGCGCACCTCCCTGTGGCAACAGAATAAAGTGTTGTTAACCCCATGGTGTCTCCTGCTGAAGTCTGTCCGGCAGTATGGCAACTCCTTGTGCATTTTTTTGTTTGGACCACTCACCTCCTAGAACCCCACGTCAGCCTCCCTTGGCTGACAAGAGCCATCCTGATTTTGGTGAGGGAAAGAACAGAAGACAGAGGGGGCAGCAGGGACAAGTTAGACAGTGAGGAGGAACACGGGCCATGCTTTTGCCTTCCTTCCTCCCCCACATGTCAAACACAGTATGGCCTGCAAAGTTCAGATAAAATGCTATCTCCTCCAGGAAGACCTCCCTGATTTCCACAACTAGCACTAAGCCATCCCTCCTGTGCCCTCCCTGGCTCTCTCTCCTTCAAGTGATCTTTGCCACATTCTGCCTCCTCCTATTATATCTCTCTTAGGAGGTAAATAGTATGTACTCTTTGCACTTGATTTTTTTTTTGCCCCTTCCTTTAGGACCTTGCTTGGAATGGAGACGTGGTGGCTGAAGTTGTGATTATTATCTTGGACCACTGGGTGAGGGCCACACCTTAAGGAGGGCAGAGGCACAATCTGGGTCCCTGAGAGCTTATAGAGGCAGAAATGCCACAACAGCCCTGGACTCCCTATCTTCAGATTTTTATGTGAAAGAAATACATTTTATCTTGCTTAAGCCAATTATTTTGGGTCTCTGTTACTTGCAGACAACCCCAATTTTAACTGATACACTGGGAATTGTTTCAGACTCCTTTTCTGCTTCTCCCTGCATTTAATCACCAAACACTTTTGATTCTTCCTCCTTAATATGTCCCAGATCTGTAACCTTTTTTCCATCACTGCACTTCTACCTGAACTCAGACAATCAAGAATTTCTTGCCTGGATTACTGTGTCAGTCTTCTTGCAAGCCTAGTCTCCTTACCTCTTAGGGTTGTCCTTTCCAATCCGCCTTTCAGACCAGTAACCCAAATTAGCTTTCTTATGAGAAAATTAAATGTATGTATACATCACCCACAATGGTGATAATTGTTAATATTCTTTTTTTATGAAGCAATATGACAAAGTTGTCTCATTCCCTTCCCAAAGGCAAACACCCTCTTGTACCCTCCCGATTCTGAATTGAACTGTATCCTTGGTGTAGTTTTCCAAAATGTTACATACATTTATGAATGTTTATACAGTATGGTTTTGTGTATTTTAAAATTTTATCTAAATGGTCATACTATACCAATAGTTCTGCAACTTTCTTTTTTTCTTTTTTCCTCCTTCCCCGACAACTTGCTTTTTGTGTCTGAGGTCTATACATGTTGATACCTATAAGCTGAGCTCATTCATGTCAGTAGTCTGTAGTGTTCCATTGTGTGATGGTAACAACACATCTGGTTCCCTATTGATAGGTGATAGGCAACTAGGTTGTTTCTTGTGTTTTGCTTTTATAAACAAGCTTCACTGACATTCTTAAACATGTGTGAGGCCCTAGGATCTGTACTCGGAAGTACAATTGTCCTGTCCTGGGGATAGTGATTGTTATGGGTTGAAATGCATCCTCCAAAAAGATATGTTGAGGTTCTTACCCGACGTACCTGTGCATGTGATTTATTTGCAAGTAGGGTCTTTGCAGATGTAATCAAATTAAGATCAAGCCATTAAAATGGGCCCTAACCAATATGACCGGCGTCCATGTAAGAAGAGACACAGAGAGAGAATGCCCTGTGAAGATGGAGCCAGAGATTGGAGTGATGAGTCATCAAGCCAAGGGACTGGCAAGGACTGCTGGCAACTTCCAGAGCTAGGAGGGAGGCATGGAACAGATTCTGTCTCAGAGATTCCAGAAGGAATGAACTCTGACACCTCTGGACTTCCAGCCTCTAGAATTGTGAAAAATGACTTTGTTGTTATAAACTATCCAGTTTGTAGTAATTTGTTACGGGGGCTGTAGGAAACTAACACAGTGGTGGATTCAAAGTGGTGGCCTGTGGGAGCACCGGCTGAGGTTAGAGAGAGAGCAGTTGAGTCTAAGACAGTAAATTGGGGCTGGACTGGGAACGGTCTAGAATGTGACCCTAGGCGGGCAGCTAGACTTATTTATTCAGGAAATGTGACGCCAAAGAAGATAAATTAAGTTGCCAAGGAACACAGTTCTACCTGGGTTTTACAGAGAAGTGTCAGAGAAACAGCCACTGTTTAGAGTGGACTTGTTTGAATCATTCAACTTCTGGGGTCTCAAATTCATTCGCTTTTCCCTTTAACAATGATTAATTCCGTACCATACACAACTGCACGGACTTTACAAACTCAAGTTTGTCGTTAATAACCACGGGTTAGCTTTCTTGTTACGTGTTTACTAAACCAGACCCTGTTTTTAGATATAATCGGCTAATCTCACTTAATCCTCACAAGTGCCCCAGAAGATAGGCATGTTATCTTCTCCATTACAGAGATTAGAAAACGTTCAGGAAGAAGGTGAGGTGATTTGAGGGAAACATCCAGCTAAAGATTTAGGGTCGCTGGCTCCATGGCCTTAGGCAAATTACTTCACCTACGTCAGCCTACCTTTTCCCATCTTTCAAATTGGCCTCTTCGGTCCAATCCTTCGTAAATAAATAAATGAAGCGTGTCGGGCGCTGTGAGCAGCGATAAACTGTGTTGTCACTGTTTTCTCGGGACCACTTGGCCCTGGCTGTGCAGACTCCCCGGCGGGCCGACCCGAGGCTACGCGGAGGCCTCGCCGCGCCGCACCGGCCGCCAGGGTGCGCTGTGACACGGTCCCGGGTTTGGCGGGCGGCCGCTCTAGCCTCGCCCCGGGAAGTCGCTGTTCTTACCTTCAGCAGGAGCCGGCGCCTCTGTGTCCGCGCCTGCTGGCATCTCTGCTTCGTCCTGCAGCAACCCACTGCCCTCTTGCCGCCCACCATGGCCCTGCTGCACTCCGGCCGCGTCCTGTCCGCCACTGCCTTCCACCCAGGCCTCGCTGCCGCGGTTTCTGCCAGAGCCAGGTAAGCAAGGGATAAAGGAGCCGGGGCGACGGGCCTGCGTGGCCGAGCTGCCGGTGCCCCAGGACAGCTAACTCGCCTTCAGAGCACACACGTGCACCCGCCACACACGCTTTCTCTGCTATCCCCTCGGCTTCACTGGGGGCTGAGGGTCGAGCGTCCGCGCCTCACAATGACCCTTTGGGTCCTACAGCCCACCTCTACCCTGCCCTTAGACCGTAGGCGAGCGTGGCAGCGCGTTCCCCTGGGTTAGGAAGTGTGGCCCTCTACGGCACCCGGACTCCCATTCAAGGTGGACGGGTCACGACACGCAGATTCGGCGCAGTGGGGGTTGGGAGCGAAGGGAGAGCCCCGGGCTGCGGCGCCGAATCACGCCTATTGGCTGCGGTGCTGGGGCTGCCTCGCGCAGATTGGCTGCGGTTGGCGGGGGGGGATCCTGTGCCCTTGACCTGCTGCCCTGGGGGGCGGCGGGGCTCACCTGTCGTGGCCTCACTGGGCCCCAGCAGGTTTGGAGAGTCGACGACTGGCTGCCATTTGTGCGTCGGGGAAAGGAAGTTCAAGGGAGGAAGGTTCCCAGAACTCTGGCTTTTGGGACCCGCTTTCCTCTCTGCATCCTGTGACCTTGGCGCGCGGCATCTTCCCGCCTGAGTCACCCGTGACCCCCCTCCTCGGCCCTTTGGCCTTTGGGTGGAAAAGAGTCTGGGTGTAATACCTTTTTTTTTTTCTTTTAGCCCTGAGGAGGTCTAGCGGTAGGGAAGTTGCCTTTCTTCCCCTCCCTCTCGCTCTGCTCTTTTATATAGTGAATATTTCCTCACCCCAGTTTCACAGAGCCAGGCACTGGACCAGATGCTAGTGCTGGATACAGTGGTGAACAAGCCTGAGGGAGGGACAGGTATCACTCAAAAAGTTCCAAATATGTAACTTCTTACTGTAACGTGTTGGCGGAGAAAAGGTTAACAAGCATAAACGAGTTTGTAATCCCTTCCTAGTGGAGAGACCTAAGCCAGGATATTTAATTCACTCAAGAAGCCGATTTGGGACAGTGCCCTTAATTACTACCTAATCAGGAACCGGGTCTCCAAACCACCCCAATCAGATATTAACTCTAAAGAGCAAAGCCTTGACCTCATACTTGCCTTGGCCTTTCCTTAGAATGTATGTACGATGTCTTTAAGCCAGCAGAACGGTTTGTCCTTTCCAAAGCCCCAC